GTAAGGAAACCCAGCCCCAGGAGGGAGACTGAGATAGATGAGGTATGCCCCTTTCCCTCTAATCAAATTCAACCCCACCCCTCTCACCAGGGTCCAAGTTATTTGAACACTTCATTTATGCATATGTTTACTCCTTTCATTCAGTAAACATTTATCAGGCACCTTTTAGTGTAAGGTACTCTGCTGGGAGCCCAAAAGTTTACCAAGAAGATCAAATATGTCAGCAAGTCCCTTTGGTTCTTCCTTCAAAGTAAATTTGGAATCTGATCTTCTTGCCCCTCCAAGGCTACCCCCTGGACCAAGTCACTCGGACCCTGTGCCCGGATGGTGGCCAGATCCTCCTAATTGGTCTCGCAGCTTCCATCCTTGCCTACTGCTGTCTAGTTTCAACAGAGCAGTCTGAGTAGTGCTTTTAAAAACCTAAGTCAGAGGGAGCCATTCCTTTGTTCGGAACGGTGCAGAGCATCCCATCTCACTGAGAGTGAAAGCCAGCACCCTCTTCGTGACTCATGTTACCCTCTGGGGTCTGGTGTCATTGTTACACTTTGACTTAATCTTCACTCTTCCTTTTGCTTGCTGATACGGTTTGGATTTGTGTCCCCACTCAAATCTCATGTTGAATTGTAATCCCTAGTGTTGGAGGACGGGCCTGGTGGGAGGTGATTGGATCATAGGGGTTGATTTCCCCCTTGCTGTCCTTGTGATGGTGAGTGAGTTCTCATGAGATTTGGTTGTTTGAAAGTGTGTATCACCTACTCCTTCACTCTCTTCCTCCTCCTCTGGCCATCTAATATGGGCTTACTTCCCCTTCGCCTTCTGCCACAATTGTAAGTTTTCTGAGGCCTCCCCAGATGTGCCTGCCTTCAGAACTGTGAGTCAATTAAACTTCTATCCTTTTTATCCCATCTCAGGTAGTTCTTTATAGCAATGTGAGAATGAATGAGTGTACTTGCCCTGGCCTCTTTGCTTTTCCTGAAACTCACCAGGCATGCTCCTGTCTCAGGGTCTTTGCACTTGTGCAGTTCCCTCTGCCTGGGATGTCCTGTCCTCGGGCTCTCCCCTGCTTCAAGACATTGCTCAGTGGCTACCTTTTTGGGGACCAACCACCTTATTTAAAATGTACACCCCACCCCTATAGGAGTACTTTATATCCCTCTCCATGTTTTGCCTGTCTGTAGAGTGCTTATCTCCATCTGATATGATTCATTTTTATTTGTTCATTTCATGTCTCCCCCACTAAAATGTCAGCCCCATGAAGGCTTAGCTATTTGTTTTATTGACTGATGTATCAACGCCTAGCACACAGATATTTAATACTTGTTGAACATATATATGTATGTAATGAGTGCATGTAATAAATAGTACTGTCATTATCTTCAAGCAGAACATGGTGAAATAGGAGCTATATCTAAAAATAAATAATGAGCTATGTTTTAAGAAAGCTAGAAATAAATATGGTAGCTCAAAGAGTAGAAAATTCATTTTGCCTGGTTGAATGGGTGGCTAAAATCAGAGTCCTACAATTTCAGGTGTGTCATGTTGGAAAATGTATTAGTCCGTTTTCACACTGCTGATAAAGACATACCCGAGACTAGGAAGAAAAACAGATTTAATTGGACTTACAGTTCCACATGGGTGGGGAGGCCTCAGAATCATGGAGTGAGGTGAAAGGCAGTTCTCACATGGTGGTGGCAAGGGAAAAATGAGGAAGATGCAAAAGTGAAAACCCCTGATAAAACCGTGAGATCTTGTGAGACATATTCACTACCCCTAGAACAGTATAGGGGAAACCACCCTCATGATTAAAATTATCTCCTATTTGGTTCCTCCCACAACACGTGGGAATTATTGGAGTATAATTCAAGATGGGATTTGGGTGGGGACACAGCCAAACTGTATCATTCTGCCCCTGGCCCCTCTGAATCTAATGTTATCGTATTTCAAAACCAATCATGTCTTCCCCTCAGTCCCCAAATTCTTAACTCATTTCACTATTAACCCAAAAGTCCACAGTCCAAAGTCTCATCTGAGACAAGACAAATCCCTTCTACCTATGAGCCTGTAAAACCAAAAGCAAGCTAGTTACTCCCTTGATACAATGGGGGTACAGGTATTGGGTAAATACAGTGATTCCAAATGGGAGAAATTGACCAAAACAAAGGGGTTACAGGGCCCATGCAAGTCTGAAATCCAGTGGGGCAAATTTTAAAGTGCAAAATGGTCTCCTTTGACTCCAGGTCTCATATCCAGGTCATGCTGATGCAAGAGGTAAGTTCCCATGGTCTTGGGTAGCTCTATCCTTGTGACTTTGCAGGGTACAGCCTCCCTCCCAACTGCTTTCATAGGCTGGCATTGAGTGTCTGCAGCTTTTCCAGGTGAATGGTGCAAGCTGTTGGTGGATCTACCATTCTGGGATCTGGAGGACGATGGCCCTCTTCTCACAGCTCCACTAGGCAGTGCCCTAGTAGGGACTCTGTGTGAGGACTCTGACCCCACATTTCCCTTCTGCACTGCCCTAGCAGAGGTTCTCCATGAGGGTCCCACCCCTGCAGCAAACTTCTGCCTGGGCATCCAGGAGTTTTCATACATCTTCTGAAATCTAGGTGGAGGTTCCCAAACCCCAATTCTTGACTTCTGTACACTCTCAGGCTCAACACCACATGGAAACTGCCAAGGCTTGGGGCTTGCACCCTATGAAGCCATGGCCTGAGCTCTACATTGGCCCCTTTCAGCCATGGCTGGAGCAGCTGGGATGCAGGGCACCAAGTCCCTAGGCAGCACACAGCACAGGGACCCTGGGCCTGTCCCATGAAACCATTTTCTCCTAAGCCTATGGCCCTGGGATAGGAAGGGCTGCTGTGAAGACCTCTGACATACCCTAGAGACATTTCCCCATCGTCCTGGGGATTAACATTCGACTCCTAATTACTTATGCAAATTTCTGCAGCCAGCTTGAATTTTTCCTCAGAAAATGGGCTTTTCTTTTCTATTACATTGTCAGGCTGCAAATTTTCTGAACTTTTATGCTTGGCTTCCCTTATCAAACTGAATGCCTTTAACAGCACCCAAGTCACATCTGGAACTCTTTGCTGCTTAGAAATTTCTTCCACTAGATACCATAGGTCATCTATCTCAAGTTCAAAGTTCCACAAAGTTCAAAGTTCTACAAATCTCTAGGGCAGGGGCAAAATGCTGCCAGTCTCTTTGCTAAAACATAACGAGAGTCTCCTTTGCTTCAGTTCCAAACAATTTCCTTATCTCCATCTGAGACAACCTCAGCCTGGACCTTATTGTCCATATCACTATCAGGCTTCTGATCAAAGCCATTCAACAAGTCTCTAGGAAGTTCCAAACTTTCCCACATTTTCCTGTCATCCTCTGAGCCCTCCAACCTCTCCCTGTTACCAGGTTCCAAAGTCACTTCCACATTTTTGGGTATCTTTTTAGCAATGCCGCACTCTACTGGTACCAATTTACTGTATTAGTCTGTTTTCATGCTGCTGATAAAGACATACTCAAGACTGGGAAGAAAAAGGTTTAATTGGACTTACAGTTCCACATGACTAGGAAGGTCTCAGAATCATGGCAGGAGGTAAAAGGCACTTCTTACACGGCAGTGGTAGGAGAAAAATGAGGAAGATGCAAAAGTGAAAACCCCTGATAAAACCATCAGATCTCATGAGACATATTCACTACCATGAGAACAGTATGGGGGAAACCACCCCCATGATTCAAATTATCTCCCACTAGGTCCCTCCCACAACACATAGGAGTTGTGGGAGTACAATTCAAGATGATATGGGGGTGGGGACACAGCCAAACCATACCAGAAAAGCACTGCAATCCATGTCAAAATGAGAAAAGGGTTCCTTGCTATAGGATTTCTCAGCTAGATTAAGAAAGTCTTTTGGGAATTGGTGGGATGGTGCACAGTTTGTGTGTTTCATTGAACCTTGATAATTATTCCAACCAGGAATCCCTCTCCATCTTCCCCAAATCTCACAAACAAATTCCAACGATAAACTCCACTCCATGTTTCAAACAGGGACTATTTTCGAGAACCATGCATGCTCTTTCCAGATGTCAGTGGACAGCATCCAGGGGGCAGAGTCAGTGTAATTTCTCATGGCTGATTTTGACAGGAGATGTCAGGTTAGTCTTAGTTATCCTGGAGCCTAACTGGATCTTGGGAATAAATCTCTTATTTTGGTAGCACTTTAAAATAAGTGGCAGCAGTTCATGCATAATTACTGCTGAATTATCTAGGGGATTTATCAGGTTTGATTATAGATGCATAATGAATTTACCAAATTTGTGGGTATTAGGGAGATATTAATTCCATATGAAACCTCACAATTCATTCATGTGCCATTTGTTTTCATTCTTTTTTATAATAAGCTAATTAGTTTAAATTATTTGTACTTGTACAAGGTCTTGAAACACATATAAGGAATGATTATACCAGAGAACCCAATAAATGAGAAGTTTTGGAGACAGCATTAATTGTGATGAAGGGTTCATAAAGCAGTGGATGTTCAATTTTCCCATTTGGGGTGGTAATAACAGGTCTAATCATGACACCTCTATAAAGTCGTGGGAAGTCCCTAATTAACGTTTCTGAATTCAGATATTTAAATGAAGGTAGGGTAAGTCATTATGCCAACTGGAGAATGAGGCAAAAAGGGGAGCTCATCCTTGTGCTAACCAAAGAAAAGATGAAATGGTGAGGGCTCATCGATTCTGGGCTGGGAGGAAGATAGGCACTAGTATGTCTGATCCGTCTGGAGGATTCCTTTAAAAAAAAACCCCAAGGTTCTGAAGGTCACTGGCAGGCTGGAATTTCAGCCTCTCAAAGTGAAGGGATGGGCTTCTTTGGGTTGGGTTCCAGCATCTGTTAACCCCCACCCCTTGTTCTTTGTGTGAAACCAGCACCCTCTGGCCAATGAGCCCAGGCTGGGCACTCTGTGGGTTGATGGATATAAACCATCTTCTTTCCTTAGGGCACAAAGAAGAACTAAGAGAGGAGAGGAAGCCTGGGCCAAGCCTGTCCAGGGAGTCTGTGGTGGTAGGAACAAGAGCTACCATGCCTTGAGCCCATTCTAAATGGTAGGCAAGTGCTAGATACTTTGCTCACACATTTCATCCTCATAACAGCCCTATGGTGTAGACAATATCATTATCTCCACTTCACAGGTCAGGGGACTGTGGACAAGAGGTCAGGCCATTTGCCAAAGTCCCCCACTCAGTCTATAGGTAGCAGGGCTCAGTTCCTGAGGATGTCTGATTCTAAAACCTGGTCCTTGATCTCTGTGCTCCATGACCTTCTGTAATCCCCACTGTCTCCCAAACATCAATGATGTCATTATAACCCCATCACCTACTCTTATCCATACCACCCCAAAGAGATACTCTTTTTTGAAATCTAAATCTCAGATTTTCACTTTCCAGGCAATTCACTAGGACAGAGGCCTTTCAACTTTCCTCTCTGAGATCTTCCTCCATGAACCAATGACAAAAGGACCAGCCACCTCACTGTTCCCCTGTTGCCGGTAGAAAAAGCCCTACAAGGATTAATGCAAGAGGAAGTTCTGCTTTGGGTGAGACATCAGTTTAATTTATATTTGATTAAAAAAGTCATTCATTCATGCATTCAGCAGCCGGTATTTGTTAAATGTCTCCTACACTCTTAAGTGGGTTTTGGTGGATTGTGGGGGTTGGGGAGGGGAAAAGGAGAGCAGGTATAATAAAGCTTATGCCAGACACCTTGTTTATAATTTTCTTGTGAGGAATATATGTACACACCTGAAAAGTTAAGTAAACAAGAGAATGATGGAATAACTAGGCAAGCGAGAGAGTCAGACGGTGCGCTGTCTACAGAGTCCAACAGAGGAGGTGGTACTGGGGCCCGAGGTGGTACTGGGGCCCGCGGTGGCCGAGGATGATGGCTTTGCAGAGGCAGAGGAATGACTGACTTGCTCAGTGAAGGATGGGCAGGGTTGGGGTGGCAGAAGAGGCACCAGCTGGACCTGCCCAGGAAACCAAGCCCCTGTGCTGCCTCAGTCTGTAAGTAGGCGTTTGACCTTGGGGGAATCACTCTCTAGCACTTTACTGTCTTTGCTGTAAGATGAAGACAATGATACCTCATGGGGTTGTCATGAAATTCAAATCGGGAAATAGATATGAAATGGTTCTGAAAGATATAAAGAGCAATATAAACGCCACATATGGAATGAGAAAAAAGCAACACCGGAAGTGGCATTTTGCAAACTCCAATCTCCCAGGACCGCATGTGGAGGAGCTCTTTTCAAGGTCACACGGACACTTTGACCCGACTCTCTCCTGGCAGCATTCAGTGTGACATGCCAGGGCAATGAGAAATGGGAGGGGCTGCATGAGACATGGCAAGGCCGAGGCCAAGCCCCCAGGTTCACGGACATTCCATAAAAAGTGCATGGTGGAACCTGAGAAGGAGGAGAAGGGCAGGGATGCCTCTGACATTTTTTTCATCTCTGGTGCTATCAAACAGAAAATGTCACTTTGTTCCTCTGTAACCATTTGTAGTTGCACCAAAAGGGGGAATTGAAAAATAGACCTTGTAGCTGCCTCCATGAGACTCAGGGGAAGGTGATACCACTTCTGCCTCGAGGGTGATCCCCGAGCCCAGCACATAGCTCACCCTCAGTCACAGCAAGGCCACTGCCTTTGATTCTAGAATCTGATGTCCTTGAATCTCCCTATCATGAGCTTCCAGTTTCACGGGGCACCTGGCCACATGAATTTCTACTTGGAGAATCAGTTTGGCTGTGTTTCGATGTCTGCATTCAGCTTCACAAGGCTGGTGAGCGAGGGCTCATGGTTGGGACACCTGACAGGTGGCAGCGAAGACCTCTACTGGGGACACTGATTTTATTGTTAAAAGTTGCTAAAGGATGAGCAACTTAGCAGCTAGGACTTTTACCACTTCAGTGATAGAATGTAAAGTCAACCCCGAGAAGATGGATCTAGGGTACCTACACTGAAAGTTTTTTTCCCCCCCCCCACAGCATATTGCAATGCAACAGTGAAAGGAATTTTAAATGGGCAGCTTCTCCTTTTTTCCTACCTCCAGGCATCTGCCTCTGAAACATTGAAGGTGGAGGGAGATAGGATTGGCCTTTCTGGGAAGACCTCTAAGAAAGCGGTTTCCATCGAGAACTACAGGTAACAGTTAAAGAGGAAGAGCATGTGTAATGTAGGAAGCTCTTTTGCTTCAGATAGATGTCCTTCCCTCACCCGAGAGCACAGTAACCCTAAAGCTATATCCTGCATCTGTCTGGAGGGATTGTCTAGCCTGGCCCACATCCTGAGCCCTCATCACCTGGGCAACCACACAGCCGACATCGTGAGAAGTCTGAGCCCCTCATACTCTTGAAGGTCAATGGATATTGCATATACTGCTTCAATGCTTTTCAACCGTTTTTGTTTTTGTTTTTGTTTTTTTACAACCTTGAGTATTTTAAGGATTCGCTTCTTTAAAAGCTTTGCTTCCCTCTGAATATTATGACTAGCCTATTGGGTCAGAGGCCAGGAGTCTGCAGAGGACGATTCATTCACCCCAGAGGCAGCTCCTTGCTTTTATCCTGGCCTCAACATGATAGCTCAAACTGCCAGATTTTACGTAGGAGGAAGGAAGACACCGAAGGATGTTCCTAGCTGGCACAGGCTGTACTGAACACAGGTCTCACCCCACCGTGGGCAGGTGGTGGTGGAGTACATCTGTCTGTCTCTGTGTTGGTGGCTGTGATTTGGCAGCTCTGCCGAAGATTTGTGAGATGGAGAAGAAAGTTCAGGGCTGGGGTACGGGGAAAGGGATAAGAAAGAAGATGAGTCACTTGAGTCAGGATAATTTTTCCTGATGTCAAAGCCTCACCCAGGAGAGCTCTCGCTGTTGCCTGCTTTTATCTGGAAAACAATGTCAGCAGCATCTCTCAAAATTAGGTCAGGGCTTGCAGAGGCAGGGGCTTGCCAAGGTGCTAACTGCCTGAATCCTCGGTGGGTTTACACAGCTCTCTGCTCTGACAAATGCCTCCTTTGTCTCCCTGAAAAGCCTGCCTCTTTTCTCCTTCACCCCTTCACTCCCCCCACAAACAACTGAATTTGGAAGGTTAAAAATCACTTCGCTTGACAAGTTGAAAGCTCTCCCTCCCCCATCACGTTGTTTCTCTTCCTGCCCAGGGAAGGCAGCTACTGTGTGTCACCCTGGGGACTGGAATCACTTTGCAAAGAGCGCAGATCTGCAGTTTTCACAATCGCAGTTGTCATCTTCGGAGCAGCGTGTGCCTGTCCACCCTGGGAGAGCCTTATGAAGGGTGTGTCTCAAGCATTTCAGGGGGCTGCAGAATTAGGGGGACAGTCCTGGTGGCTTGGTCTCCTTAGGCTTGTCTTGGCTTAGGTTTCTGTGTGACAACAGCATGATAAAAATCCGTCCAAAGCAAGAGAAGCAATAGCAGGATAACAGGGCAGCAACAGTCAGTTCTTGTTTGGCTTTCCAGGACAACGTGGCTTTCTCTTATTTTTTGTGCCTGACACTGTTTGCACTGACTAAGATATCATGATGATGAAACACTGTTGAATCTAAAAGGTGGGTAGGGCCTCAGAAGGGGTGAGAGGAGGCCTTAGAAGCTAATTATAATCCTCTAGAAGTGTGTGGAAATGGGAACCTGAGCCAGGAAAGTCCTGTGGATTCACTAGATTCTGGGACTGTACCTTATCTATGCTGTGCAAAGGAATAAGAAACCAGAGCTGTCTTGGGAACCAGCAACATCAGATGTTCCCAGGAGCAATGTTTGCAGGTGAGTGAGGTCAGGGAGGGCGACAGAGTTAGGACTCTGAAGTCAGAAAGATGCCTGTTGGTTCTGCCATTCATATCTGTCAGATATCAGGCTGGTTTCTTAACCATAACCTCCATGATTCAGTTTCTTCATTTGCAAAATCATTAAATAAGATAATATATTGAAAACTCTTAGCACCCAATATGTCTTCAAAATTATGATAATTGTTTTGTATGTTTTGGCAAGAAAATAGAATAATAATGTTATTGGAATCTCTGGAAAACCAAGGTTTCCAAACCTTTCACCTTAAGTAGATTTTTATAAAATGAGACTTTACATGGAATCTCAACACACAAAATCGGCATAGGTGGGGGATAAGGCAGCAGGTGACAGTGGTTGCAGGTTCCTGGGCACTGCCTGCTCAGCCCCTGCACTGATTGTCTTACCCACAGGGGCAGTTTAAATCTTCATGCTTTTACCACCTTAGACTGAGTAAGAAGATGAATTTGCACAGATTTCTCCTGGCATAATTTCTCCATATCTTTAGCACTGTTTGATGATGACTTTTAAGCTTTTACATCGTGTACTCATAACCTATCTCTTATGAAAATAAATGAAACTGGCTGGGTGTGGTGGCTCACGCCTGTGATCCCAGCATTTTGGGAGGCCAAGGTGTGTGCGTCGCTTGGGGCTGGCAGTTCCAGACCAGCCTGGCCGTCTTGGTGGGTCCCTGTGTCTACTAGGAATACAGGGGTTGGCTGGGCATGGTGGTGTGCGCCTGTGGTCCCAGCTGCCTGGGAGGCTGAGGCATGAGAGTTGCTTGAAACCAGGAGGCTAGGGTTGTGGTGAGCCAAGATCATGCCACTGCACTGCATCTAGCCTGGGTGATGGAGCAAGACTGTGTCTCAAAAAAAAAAAAAAAAAAAAATCAAAAAACCAAGCAAACAAAAAAACCAGAAAAAATAAATGCAACCTTGATTTTCTCTCACACTGTATTATGTTTAATTTTCATTTGTTTATTCCATAAACACGACAGGCTTTTGAACTTTGTATTACCTGTATATTTTATAATGGATCATGCATAATTTCTCAGGAGGATAAAATGAGAATTCTAAATTTAAAAAAAATAAATCTTCATGGAATCTCAAGGCTCTGAGGGGCCTAGTAAGACAATTGCTTGTTTAAAATATTAGAGAAATAGTGGGCCAGTTCCAAAAAGGTAGAGCCCTGATGACATCCAGCCAGTTAACACATTTTAGTAACCAAGCAAACCAACCCAGAAAGACATGGATCAGGAGAAACCTCCATATGTGGCAGGGCACAGGTCTGAGAGATGAGTGTGGAGGAACTGAAGTCAAAGTGGGACATGCTCTTTAGAAAAGAAGGGCAGTGTCATTCCTCTTCTCACCCAGAGTGCGACTGGGACGTGTGGGAACCCAGGGTCTGTAGATGGGTTGGGGGTGAGGTGGAGTAGGGAGGTGGAGACAATGACACAGAGACTGTCTGTCCCCAGCCTGAAGAGGACTGTGCTAGCTTGGGAGGGAATGAGACTCAGTTGGCATTTCTGCACATGGGCTGGGTGGACCTGTGCAACTCTGATTGTGTCCATGTAGAAACCTGTGCTGTGTTCAGTCGCTGCAATGCTTTTGTAGTTCTGTGACTTTTTCCCCTTTTGCTTCCCCTTAGTTTTCAGAGAAATTCCAATCAGGCTTTACTACTATCTACTGGAAGAGACAAGAAGGTAATTTGACCAGATCAAGACCATCCAGGCCGGCAGAGCACAATTCATGACTGGTCCATGGAGCTCTCCTCAAGGATCCCACCAGTTTCACACAGAAGATGGCGTTGCCAAAGCCTGGGGCTCACCCCATCCCTTTGTGTCTGTCACAGCTCTCCCATTTCTGGAGGAGTCGAGTTAGCCCCCTCCTCCTCCTTTGAATCTCTTCTCTTTAAGACTCGCAGCTTCAATACCCAAATGCTGCCATGTTTGTAGTGGTAATGCATGGAATAACAAGTAGTTATTGTCATACAAGAAGAATAAGGAAGCTTTTGATGATCTCAAATAATGTGGATATCTACATCATTTTTGCATGCCAGTGAGTATATCCAGCTTTGAGGAGATGGTTATTTTTATACCTTTCAAGACTTGGTATACTTAATTATCTAGGGAAACTCATAACCCCAACTTCCTAAGCCACTCCTAAAGAAAAAGCACAGATGCAGTGACTGTGCTAAATGCAGTGACTAAAGGCTTTCTGGCCTCCTTATACTTCATCTCAGGGCTGGAGGTAACTCAGATGTACCTTGCTATTTTCACGATCCATTGGTGTCTCAGTAATGAATGTTCACCGCTGCAGTGCCCTCATTTAGCCTAGTAACCTCAGTAAGGTAATATTTGATTTGTGCTAAGTATCTGATTAAACAACATAAAGTATTTAACCTATTGATCTTTTATACTTTGCCAGCCCTACATTGCTGGATATACTTTAATTACTGATGTGGAGAACTTTCCTGAATGGGATTCGCATCTCGTTAAGACCTTCTCTTTGTCTTTAAGGTGCCATGTCAACAACTTCTCCTTCTTGTTGCCTCTAGGCTTTTCTTCCACCCACTAGACCCTGCTTGATTCTGCAAGACTGACATTTGGTTAATCTACTGAAAGTAGAGTCCTTTATGTAACCATGAATCTTACTGCTTATTTTGGAAAGTCAATGACCACATAAACAATCGGACTTGTTACTTTGTCCACCCTGATCTTTGGAGCATGGGAAGTTGTCCAAAGTGACAACCCCATTTTAGGCAACTGGTCACAGCTGTTGGATGGACCTAACCCTTCTATCTCACAAGGAGAAGAGGCCAGTGGGCATCCATCAAGAGAAATCACAGGAAACCATTTAGACTGGTCAATTGGTTAGCTAATTGCTCTAGTCTGAACCACTTCTTAGAAAACTACAGAAAATCATACATTTTTCCTCTTGCCTGCTAGGATATAGTAATGAATATTAATAATAACTAGCTGCTTTACATGCTGTCTTTTCTTCAAGAATCTCAGACATGGTAAGTTTATTTATTTTTTTCTCTTATTTTAAAACTAGATCTAAAAAGGCTGAGATAGCTTCTCCATTGGCCCCCCAAAATGAGAGTGACACCTCATAGGATTAAGAGAATTCAATGAGAAAATTCACGTGGAACACTTACCATAATGCCACTGAGTAAGCACTAAAAAAATAGGAGTTATACTATTAGTTATTATTATATCTTCTAAGAAGCCTGTGACTTGTGGGTTGCCCATGAATTTCTGAATAGAGTCAGGCTGGGAGGAAGGCACACTGGTCCAAGTGTCTGGTTACTTTGCCCAGCCTACCTGGTAAAGACTGTCCCACCCTGCATGCCAACATCCTTTGGTCTGTACTGGCCCATCACACATAGGTCTTGGACAAAAAAGAGTGGTTTGTGGAGGATTAAAGCCCATGAAAAGGCGAATGTTCACCTTCACTCAAGATGCTGCCCGAAGTCAGATCAGAAGCAGAGTCTGAATGACTCTCTAAACAGCTTCTCAAAGGATGCCTTCCACAGGCTGATGTGCTTGATAACAATGCAAATTCAAGGAACATCTCCCAGCCAACTGAACTGGAATTTCTATGAGTACAGCCTAGGAATTTGCAATTAAATCAAGCTCGTGGGTGATTCTTACGTTCAATAAAGTTTGAGAAGCATACTACTAAGTGGTGCCTTTAAAGGCAACTCAAAAACTTGCAGAAAACATCTAGAGAAGGCTGGAGGTGGCCTGGTGCTTACTGTATAAGAGCATCTGACAAGCTCCACCCTGTAGGTGGCATTCTAGTCTTGAAAAGCATGATAAAAATTTGGGGTTGCTACTAAGCAGGGACAACTGCACAGCCTGTAGAGTGGCTTGGAGACCTACCGATAGCCCTGCTAGGATCTGGGGCAGACAGTGGGCACCAGCCAATGCTAGGGTATGTGAAGGGCAAAGTGGGCCCTTTGGGGTAAGAGAACTGTGAGGCCAGTGGTGCCCATAAGACTATTGAAATAGCGCTCCATGACCTTCTCCATTGCCTCTGCAAATACCCCGGGGAGCACTTTTACTCCCTTCTGGCTTCTCTGTCACTTGGGATGCAGTTGGGATGCTTACTTTCACTTCCAAAGGATGACACCTCAGAGAATGCAAACTCTAATACACATAAGACACAGACAATCCATGGAAAACACGATACTGCTGAGGTGTATGCACGTGTGCACACTGATGTGCATTGCATCATTGCATTTGTTCCAAAGCCAGTAAAAATGATTTTCAGATAATCTGCTATTTTGGATCGTCTGCACTGCTGCTTGCTTCCATTAGCATGGCTAATTGAGAACTGACTGTGTGTCTTGGACTGTTTCCAGGAAGGGAACCCATTGCCTGTATAATACAGGCTCCCTGAGAGAGCCAAGTAAATGGCTGGAAATGTCAGGTTGAATGCCCATTGGGAGAGCAAACTTTTAAGGACGACCTGACCATTCTCAGGCCAGAGAAGCAATCTTGTTCAGCATGTCACATTGATTGCCAAGTCAGTAAACCATAAAACTGTCCCACAGCTAGAGCATGCACTGACTCTGAGAAAGATGAGGCTTGGTTAGTAAAGGATGAAGCCATTCCAAGACCAATAAAAGATGCAATATGGTTTTCCCTGGGCTGTATATTAACACCATCCTGGAAGCTATAGGGGATAGAGGCTTGGCAAACAACTGCGTTTTGCTTTGACTTTTGCAAAGTGAGGATGAGATAGAGGCCAATGGGGAGATCATCTGAGGCCAGATGAAAGGCTTGGAAAGAGTAAGTCTTTACAGAAACCTAGTCTCTAAAGAAACCACTGATGTTTATGTGTCTTGGCCAGTGTCTTCTGTCATATAACATCTTGGTGAAATACCTCGAATAGATCTTAAAACCAAAACATATGAAGAAAAAAGGAAAATAGAAAGCACAATGTTGTAACTGCCTTCTGGGTAACCATGTTTTGGATGGTGTCATTTTTCTTATGACATAAGCTCCCAGATGGCACAGACAGTGTCTCTCAGGAAAAATAGCAACTAGCAGAGGGTCATGCCTTGTATGAGTTTCTGATACATATTGTTTGGTTGTGTGTTGTTTATCACAAAGAGAACAGATACTATTGTCAGAAAATCTCACCAGCTGTGTTTTGCAAGAAGAATGAGAGAAGTTCCCTGCAACTTTTACAATTCTGTGTTCTGTCCCAAATAATGATGAGAGATGAATCACCTGGGCTGAAGGATGATTGAAGAAGGAGGTACATTGCTCAAGAAGGTCAGAAAGCCTGTGTCTAGGGTTAATCTGTGCTCACGGAGTCCTTTCTATGTGTCGCTAATAGCTAGAGGGTCTGCTGATTTCATTTGTGCCCAGTCAACTCCCTGGGCACACCCCTAATCAAAACCAGAGGACATAAACTGTGAAGATTTCCAGGATGGGTTTCTGAGGACGGCTGTCTATAGCTTCAGATATGGCACTAGACACAGTGGTGCTCATGATTGGCTGCACGTTAGAATCACCTGGGGGAGCTAGAAAACTATGGATACCCAGACTCCAGCCCCAAATATTCTGATTTAATTGGTCGGGGGTGGGTCCCCAGTATGAAAAAATTTTTAAATCACCTAGGAGATTTTACTTGCAAGCAGGGTTGAGACAGCCTGAGCTAAAGCCTCTTTAGTGGTATGAGGGAAAACAGGAGGCTCTGACTCAGTTCACAAAGTTGAAGATCAAATACAGCCTTTGAAACAGCATTGTTCCTCTTTACATTATGCCAGGAAATAAATGACTGTGGGAGATGGGGTGTAGGTAAAAAGGAATGAAGGAAAAGGAGAAAAAAGGAGAGAGCCAAAATGCCCATTGAGAGGAGAGGAATAAGATTGATTTTCCCCTAATAGTTTTTATTCAACCAGGGTCTGAAATATGCTCAGTCTACCTCATGAAAAGTGTGTCACCCAGGGCACAGTGGTGTTTCTATCGCCAGTCACGGAGGAGTCAGGCAACTGCTGAACTGCAGCATTAGGGACCCATAAAAGGAAAAACGCATTGCTATGACTAACAGCCCATTACCATAACAATTGTAAATGACTTTAGGGAGTCTGCCCATTGACCATCAAAGAAACCAGAAAACGGGGCCAGGCCTCTTGGAGAGCACTAGAGGCTTATGAAAGCTGTGCACTGGGAATCTTAGCGTCTTAGTTCCTTCGTGCTGCTGTCACAGAGTACCTGAGAGTGGGTAACTTATAAATAACAGAAATTTATTTCTTACAGTTCTAGAGGCTGGGAAGTGCAAGATCAAAGCACTGGCATCTGTTCTGGTGAGAGTCTTCTTGCTGTATCCTCATATGCAGAAGGTGGAAGGCAAGCTAGAATGTTAGCCAGAAGGTGGAAGGCAAGCTAGAATAAGTTAGCCAAACACTGCATGAGACCCCTTGCATAAAGGCATTAATCCCATTGATAAGGAAGGAGGTCTTATAGCCTAATCACCTCTTAGAGCCCCACCTCTCAATACTGTCACGTTGGCAACACCTGAATTTTGGAGGCAATTAGGTTTCAATATGAATTTTGGAGGAGTCAAAAACATTCAAATCCTAGCAGTTGGAGATAGCAAAGCACATTGTGTGATGTGACAAGAAAGTCACATGGGGGCAGAAAAAGAAGAAGAGAACCAGTGGGTCACCCCAACTTCAAATGGGTTCTCAGCATTAGCTTTCTAGAGTGTAGGATTTTACTTTTTCCAAAGTCCTTTCTTTCTTTTTTCTTTGCTCCATCTCTCTACTTCTTACTCATGTATTTCTACTCAGAACTGGAGCCAGGAATCCATACTCCCTGTCCACTGTCCCTTCTGGCAGAAATACTGTGGAAAAGCAGATGTCAGTAATACTGCCCAGTCTTGGCAAGGGAAGAACCAGCAAGAAGAGTGCAGGGCATCTCCACACATGGGATTGATGAGCATGGGGAGTGTGGAGTGTGAGAGGCAGGAGGGGGATGTGGGGGAAGTTTTGATATCGTGTCTGGCTTGCTTATTTATTTATTTATTTATTTATTCATTTATTTATTTATTTTTATGAGATGGAGTCTCACTCAGTCGCCCAGGTTGGAGTGCAGTGATACGATCTTGGCTCACTGCAACCTCCGCCTCCGGGGGTCAAGTGATTCTCCTGCCTCAGCCTCCTGAGTAGCTGGGACTACAGGCGCCTGCCACCATACCCGGCTAATTTTTTGTATATTTATTACAGACAGGGTTTCACTGTATTAGCCAGAATGGTCTTGGTGTTCTGACCTCATGATCCGCTTGCCTCAGCCTCCCAAAGCGCTGGGATTACAATGTCTGGCTTTAACAAGACAAAGCTTTTGATGGTTTATCTCCTACGATTCCTGGTTTTCTCTAAGGTGGTGCTGGTTTCTACTACACAGGGAGAGGGATCCACTTGTCATAATTAAAACATCTCATGGAAGTGTATGCTTCTGTGCTCTCCTGGAAAATGTACAAATAGCTGGGGATGGCAGGTTCCCAGGGAAGTGGCACATGACATGTCAGGGGAGTCTAGCAAGGGGGAGGCACAGTCCCTAGGCCCTTAGATTTGTAGCCTCTGAACCCATTGCATCCTGGAGCGAGTTACAGATTTCATCTGAGCGACAAAAGGGGAGTGAGAGACTTGGAGGCTCCCTTTGGAGCTCTCTGGCAATTCATGATCGCTGAGCAAGAAAGACAGGGAACGAGGAATTAATTTTCACTGAAGTGCCACAGGGCCTGCTCTGACTATAAGCATGGGAGAGCTGCCCCAGTCCTGTAAAGCCCTAGAGTTGGGCTAGCAGGGGAAAGCACAAGGTCTGGAGATTGGAAGGAATTTTCCTGAGAGTGTGTGTGTCTGTGCTTTTGAGCCTGTGGCCCCGGCACAAGGGAAATTAACCAGACTCTGCATGTTGTGGGAATTCTGCATGGCAACCTAATAGAGGCTTAGTTTTTCATTAAAATTTCCATTAATACTGGAGCTGTTTAGAGCAAGTTGAGTGGGAATATCCATAATGCACCTCCCATCCTCTATTACCATTCTGAGGATCAGAGTGAAGTTTCAGGCTTTTGCTGGGGCCATTAGCATTTTTTTTTAAACCATCATTATGATCATCATCCCAGCACCTATTATGTAGAGCAGGCAAAGTACAAAGAGGATCACACAGAACCTATCCTTGTCCTACATGACAGGCAGGGCAAGAGTAAGAGAGGAGGCACGCAGGGGCAGAGAATGAAGTCTGGTGAGGCCTCGGGGACGTGGACTTTCCAGTATTGAGAAGCACCTCCCTCCTCCCACCTGCCTACTTTAAATGAAACAGCTGTCGTACTGGGCTAGAGCAATCTCAGGCGCAGGGAAGACATGGATTTTCTGTTGGAACTGGGGATACTGAAAGGGATGAAGAAGTTCAGGCCTCACCTCTTGGGATCATTTCTATAGCAGAGCTGCCCAGAAGATCACCATTGTTACCAGCTCCGATGTGCCCTTCCTGCATGCCAAAGCCAGTTCTCTCTTGGAGATGGCCACTGTTGTTCTCTGGGCTGTGGGACATCTAGGAAACTGGGGTCCTTGTTTCAGGGTTCTGGGAGGCTGGTTCAATGACATCTCATAGAGACAGTTTCCTTTCTATCCCTGGCTGCAGCCTCATGGCACTACTTCCTCATCTATGAACTTCTTGTGCCCTTAGGGGTGCGCTTCTGCCTCACCCACAGGTAGCTGGAGCTCATTCTACAGTGTCCAGAGGGAAAGCCACCAACCTGTCCCCTCCAGGCAGAATGAACTGTGCTCTTACTCTGCAGCCTTCCACATATTATTCATAACATGAAGATTATTTTGGAGTGCGTTCTTTCGCTTCTCACAATGAGCAGACACTCTACTTTATCCAGCTTGTATCCTCTATGCTAAGTGCAGGGCAGATCACATGGTAGTTCCTTATAAATTTTTAAAAAATTGTTGTAGATTTCCTTTCACCTGCCTGAGGTGAGGCTCAACACTGTTACTGATAAAACCGTCTATATGTAGAAAAACAGAGCCCATTAAAAAGAAAACCCAAACACAGCTAATAGTCTGGGAATGGTGTCTGCAGGATGATGCAGTTGACACATTCTGTTTGTGCCACACGTGTGTTTTGTCACTGAGACTGCCAGCTCTGAGGGGAAAAATTCTACCATAAGAATATTTAAAATAAGATTGAGTACTGTGGCTCTTCGCCAGGTATGTGTTTCAGGAGGCATTTCAATGAGAACATGCTGTCATAGTCTGAATGTTTGTGTTTCTCCAAAATTCATGTGTTGAAATCCTCACCCCGAAGTGATACTATTAGGAAGTGGGGCCTTCGGGAGGTGATTAGGGCATGGGGAAGTGGGGCCTTCGGGAGGTGATTAGGGCATGAGGGTGGAACCCTCATGAATGAAATTAGTGCCCTTGTAAAAGAGGCCCCAGAGAGCTGCCCTCTTCCACCATGTGAGGACAGAGAAAGAAGGTGCCATCTATGAACCAGGAGGCGGGTCCGGCCCAGACATCAGATCTGCCAGCACCTTGATCTTTGACTTCTCCACCTCCAGAATGGGGAGAAATACATTTCTGTTGTTCAGTCTAAGATTGTTTGTTACTACAGCCCAACTGGACTGAGGCACATGCTGCAGCCCCATTGGTGAAGAGCATAGGCTTTGGAAACATGCTACGTGGCCTTGAGGTCTGTCTGCAACACTTAACTGTGTGACCTCGGGAAGGTTTCTTAATCTCTATGCGCATTCGTTTTTCACTTGTAAAATGGGAATCATAATAGACCCATCACCTTGTGCCATTGTGAGGATGACATGAGGTAAAAATATATACAAAGCTTAGAGTAATTTATACTTACACCGTGTCAGTCTAAAGCGTTGTTGCTATTACTGAATCAGAATGCCTGGAATTATGATCTGGACCTTTTTATTCTGAAGGCGCTGCTCGGAGATTCTGATTTGCATCCATGGTTCAGAACCACTTGCCTGCTGGACTGTCTGTGTCATCGAAGTTGAGGAACCATTAAGCATTACTAAATATGTACAGCAGGATCTTGGTTCAGCAGGAAGAGTGTGGATTCTTGGAATGCCTCATGTGGCAAGTTATTTCAGGTTTTCTTGTCATCCTCCTCCCTATATCTATAATGGACAGCCTTGGGTTTTACCTCTTGTCCAGGCACCAGTTCCTCTTTCTGCAGGGATGTGAGTGAGCAAGGAAGTGCTTAAGCACCAGGGAAAGGGGAGAAAGAAAAAGTGGGGGTAATCCACCGACTGTCTAACCAGTTCCTGAAAAATAGAGGGCCAACTACCATTAGAACTCTTAGAGGATTGCTGAGCCTTCTAAGAGTTTACCAAGAAGGGACAAATCTAATGATAAGAAAGTTACAGCCAAGTTTATTGAACAATAACCCATTTCCTTCACACAGAAACAATGAAGAAACATTTTTTCTCACTTACATGGCACAAGGAAAACAATATCAGTGATTTGTGCTGCCTGGTTGTCGGGTCTCTTTACCAACTTGTCTTATTTTCTTACTGCATGATATGAACACGTAGGGTTAAACATAGCTCTCTTTTTCTCTCTGGTGAGGTTTTTGCTTTTCCCATTTTTATTTGTGTTGACTAGGAGGTCTTTCATCAGAAGAATAAAAGACCATGCTTTTGAGGAGCCAGTCACTGAGTTTCTGTGTTGATCAAGCAGCATTGCTGGTACAGGTGTATTCATTTTGGGTCTGGGATGGATACAGGTTTGTTGAAAGGTCCCTGGGGAATGAGAGGGCTTAGCCAACAGTCTCAGGGTCAGCATTTCCTAGTCCTACAAGATTCAGATTCCTGATGTGGAGCCAAGGAAAGGCTTGAGTGACTAGGGAGCTTTTTGAACAAGGCACTTTAATTTGCTAAGAACTCTACATCATTTTGTACAATTTATTTCAGGGAGAGATATCACTTTAGGTTAAAAAAAAAACAAAGGAAAAAAAGCTCCAGACTAGTCCATGATGGAGGACAAAGCATCTCAGTAAATAACTTTGAAAGTCAAGAGTTACAGGAAATAAAAAAAGCAAACAATCAGAGAATGTGCCACTAATGAATTCAATCGCAGCAAAAGTCCATTTCCATTCCCTTGAACTCTACACAATTTCCAGTTGCAAATATCTTTCAGAAGTACTGTACACACACAGTTGGATATTGAGTTGCTTGACAAACATTTCTGATCAAAACTACTTGCCTAGAAATGGCTGCTGGAACAACAATAATGTGGTTTTAAAACGAGCTGGGCTGTTTGCACATAGGTGTAGTCTAAGAGTTTAATGGAGTTTTGCAGAAGGGAATTGCCTAGAAAATAGTGGGTTTTTAAGGATGAACTTTTGACTCCCAACACGAGATGAAGGGAAGATCGGGGGAGAATAGGGAGAGAAGGGCTGTCTCTTCTGTTTTCTCTGGAGCACCATGGCTATACTAACTTCTACTTTGCTGTACTGGACTCAGCAATCAATTTCTTCTACAATCTGTTCCCAGACACACTCTCAACTCACGTCGGTTTAGTTGAATGGTTGCCCTACCTGGATTCTGAGACTCTTCTTGGGGCCTTATCTGGGATATTTACAGCTTCCATTTTTGAGAAGTGTGTGTGTAAGGGCACTAATTTAAGAACTAAAAAGGCCGGTGACATCTAGGGAAATGTCTTCACTTTGGGCAGGAGTGGGATGACCCTTTGAATGCTGCACAAAAGGCCATGGATCTGGCTGATCTGAGGAGGCTGGTGTTTTCTGATCTTGGGACAAAGCAGTCACCTGGAGCTCTTGCACCCTGGAGAAAATCTTGTAACTTCTTTCTCTGGGCCAAGGGGCAAGGCTGTTTGGTCACACTCTTTAGTGATTCACAGCTGGGAATCTTCTGTCTCTGAGCAATTGCAGCACCTCATAAGGGGTTGTTAGCTGAGCCCCTGTGTCTTAGTCAGTTTGGACTATAACAAAACACCATAAACTGAGTGGTTTATAAACAACAGTAATTTATTTCTTATAGTTCTAGAGGCTGAAAGATCAAGATCAAGGTGGTGGCAGATTTGGTGACTGGTGAGGGTTGGCTTCTTCATAGGCAGTGCCTTCTCTCTGTGTCCTCACATCGTGGAAGGGACAAGGGGCCTTTCTTGGACATCTTTCATAAAGGCACTAATCCCGTTCATGAACTCCGTTTTCATGACCTAATCACCTCCCAAAGGCCCCACCTCCTAATACCGTGGCTTTGGAGGTGAGAATTTTAGCATGTGAATTTGGGGGAACATAACCATTCAGAATAAAACACCCTGGCTATAGAAGAGAGGTGGCTTTTCCTCTCCCCAGATGGCTTCCCTTTCCCCACAGTCCAATTGGCTGTCTAAGCTTAGAGAGCTGCCCCTGGGGAAGAGGAGCCCTGTCAACTGCACCCGGAATGATGGCCTTTCCTCCTGTTCTTCCTTATTAGTTTCTTCCCGCTTCTATAGGATGACAGAGAGGCCCCCCTCTTAGTTTTCATTGTGGCTGGGAGCCAGTGGATAGCATGCCATTTGCCGTCTCAAATCTATAAAGAGCTGTTGGCAGGTCTTCCTCCCTCCCTTCCTCCCTCCCTCCCTTCCTCCCTTCCTTCCTTCCTTCCTTCCTCCCTCCCTCCCTCCCTTCCTCCCTTCCTTCCTTCCTTCCTTCCTTCCTTCCTTCCTTCCTTCCTTCCTTACTTCCTTCCTTCCTTCCTTCCTTCCTTCTTTCTTTCTTTCTTTCTTCTTCTTTTTCTTTCCTTTCTCTTTCTTTCTTTCTTTCTTTCTTTTCTCTTTCTTCTTTTCTTCTTTCTTTCTTTCTTCTTTCTTTCTTTCTTTCTTTCTTTCTTTCTTTCTTTCTTTCTTTCTTTCTTCTTCTTTCTTTCTTTCCTTCTTTCCTTCTTTCTCAAAAAAGTTCAGTTCTCCTAGGTGGTTCACCTGGCTTTTAATAATGTTTGGCTCCGTTTTAAATGCCTGGCTCTGAGTGTGCAGCTAAGCATCTATTCCTACAGGCATTTGGTCATTGCAGGGTTAAGAAAATTTGAACCGTTCCTTTCCTGCCCATTTTGGGGTGCTGTGCACTGAGAGTAAGAGTGTCCAGGATGAGGGAATGCATGTTTCCAGTGACACCTGAAGTTTTAGCCACCTATTAGGGCTTTCCATCCCAATTTTCATCCCTTTTTGACAATCTTGGTAAAAGCTTTGCTAGTACAGAGCTAATCAAAGAATTTCTGCCTCCCAACTTGTCTGCTCTTTGTTTTGTTTTTGCTTTGGTTTTTTGCTTCTCTGGGATATGGATCTTCAACTTGTTTGTTTTGGCAGGAATTCCCTTTAGTGAGTAGTGTTGGGGTTGTTAGACCCATTGAACAAAATGAAAGTAAAAGGGGTCTCTAGATCTGTGATCCTGGCCCTGAGTCAAGCTTTCCTTCAGGGTATTTCAAATGCGTGCAAGGTCTTCCTCCTTCCCTGAGACACTTGCCTCTCCTTTAGTTCTCAGGTCTTGGATCATGTCCTCTAGAAAACTTTTTCCTATTTAATCCCATGTATTTTTAACCCATGAATGTATTCCCCAATCTTTCCATATCTTTAGTTAATTCTTGTAATATCTATGTATTTAACGGCTTAATTGTGGGCGGTTAGATTTTTAACTCCTGGTTCGGACTAATACATCTTTTCCAGTGCACGGCTACAGATCTCAGTAGCACACACGGAACACTTGCTAACTGTGGTTGACTCATTCAAGCCCTCCCACGAGTCAGATTACCCAGTCAGCCAGTAAATGTTGGAGGACTCCCGCGCTTCACTGTGGGCTTTTCTCTCTTCTCCATTTACATTTTTCTCCCAAGGTATTGCATGAAATTCCAAGGCTTTAAATACCATTGAGATACAGATGACTTTTTAAATTATAAATCCAGTCTTGACCTATCCCTTGGGCTAAAGATTTGTAAATTCAACTGTCTTCCTAAATCTTTTTTTGGAGGTCTAATAGTTACCAAAAACTGTACCATGTCCAAAACAGACTTGTGGGCCCCACCCTGCATATGTGTCTCTCTCTCAGTCTTCAGCATGTCAGTGCACTGCAGCACCATCCACCCTGTTGCTCAAGCTCATGCCTCAGTCTCCTCTGATTCTTCCCATTCCTCCTTCCAGCACATTCCACGCACCAGCATGTCCTGTTGGCTCTTGTTTCAAGATATACCCAGAATCTGTTCACTTCTCTGCACTGCCACCATTTCAATCCAAGCCTTCATCAACTCTTGCCTGGGCTTCTGTATTAGTCTTCCCAACTGGTCTCCCTGCTTCTCTTCTTGCCCCCTAAAATCCATGCCCCACATGGCAGGCATAACGATTTAAAAAAATCAGCATTTGACAAAATCTAATGCCTGTTCATAATAAAAACTATCAAATAACTAGGAATAGAAGAGAACATCATTAACTTAATATAAAGAGTATAAGAAAAACCTAGAGTTAACATGATACTTAATGGTAAGAGACTGAATGCTTTTGTCCTAAGATTAGAACAAGGTGAGAATGTCTGCTCTCACTATTCCTATTGAACCCTGTACTGGAAGTCCTAGCTTAGCGCAATAAGACAAGTAAAAGAAATAAAAGGTGTAGAGACTTGGAAGGAAGAAATAAAAATGTCTTTATGCTCAGGTAACATAATTATCTATGTAAAAAACCCAAAGAAGCTACAAGAAAAGTCTTAATAAGTCAATACAGCAAGGTTGTAGGATACAAGGTGAATAAACAGAAGTTAATTTTTTCAATAGAAAGTCAGAATCATGGTAAGCTGCCTACGTTGCCTCACCCTTGGAGGCTACATTTTAGCTTTTACTGAATGGAATGAAGAAAGATAAATACAAACTTGTGTCTTTAACGAAGAAAAAATTAACTGCTTTCCTCTACACCAACAATAATGGTCCGACTAAAAAATGGGCAAAAGATCTGAACAGACATTTCACCAAAGAAGATATGCAGATGGCAAAGAAACATATCAAAAGATGCTCCATAGCCTTTGTCATTAGAGAAATGCAAATTAAAATTACAACATACCTCTACACACCTCTTAGAATGGCTAAAATCCAGAAAAGCTGACGATACTGGCAAGTATATAGAGCAACAGGAGCTCTCATTCGTTGCTGCTGGGAATACAAAGTGGTGCAGCCACTTTGGAAAATAGTTTGAGAGTTTCTTACAATGCTAAACATAATTTTACCACATGATCAAGTAATTGCACTCCTAGGTATTTACCCAGCTGATTTGAAAACTTATGTGCACACCAAAACCTCCATGAGAAGGTTTATAGTATCTTGATTTGCAATCATCAAAACTGGAAGCAACCAAGATGTTCTCCAGTAGGTGAATGAATTAATAAACTTGGGATTTTTAAATAAACAATCAAGCCACAATTAATAGCATGCCCCGTGCATAATCACAGAGAAAAACAAGAAAGGCCCAAGCCCGTTAGGTCAAACATGCTGAGTGCTGTGGAATAGCAAAAATCTATTACTAAAGACTTGAACAGTAGCTGGAAACATAAAAGGTCAGATCATTGGCTCAGTTAGACTTGATTATATGAGACTAGCGTGTAGATAAAGGCCCTAGCATTGGGAGGATATGTTTAAGAGATAAATGAAACCAGCAGGACAGGGTGGTGCTGACATCACTTTACTACACATAAAGTTGTTATAAATCCATATAGTGGGATACTATTGGGCAATAAAAAGAAATGAGCTATCAGGCCACAACATGGACGAATCTTAGATACATATTGCTAAGTGAAAGAAGCCAGTCTGAAAAAAAAACATTGTATGATTCCATTTAGATGACACTCGAAAAGGTAAAACTATAGAAAAAGAGCAGTAGTTGCCAGGGGTGTGGGCACAGGAGAGGGTTGAATAGATGAAGCACATGGGATGTTTTTAAGGCCGCGAAACTATTCTGTACAATGCTGTAATGGTGGTGGGGTATAATAAAAATACATATATTGAGTCTTTGTCCTCGGTTCCCAGCATGGAGCTGGGAGGATACAAAGAATAATACCAACAGCTCTAAGAGTACATAGGGAATTTGCTATCTAGTCGATACCTGTTAGAGTCTCTTTTCTTCTATGTCCAATGAGTTCCTACTTTACTTGTTAAGGACCTAAACTGACAATCTAGTTAATTAACCAACTAATTCCCTCACTGGTATTTGAATTAGTGTTTCAATTGCTTTGCGTTAACCTTTTCTAAAGTTTCAAAATTTCTTAAGCCAGTTTTCAGTAATCTGCCCTCCATCAAATTGTAGAAAGTAGCATAACAAATAGACTTGAGTTTCCTCATCTCCTGGCCCTCCTCCATCTCTGGGGAAATATGAAAGACAGAAATGGTCCCCTGGTGTAGAGCTGGAGCCAGGAAGGAGGAATACAGTTGAGGGCTAGGATAACCAAATGAAAAGCAGAGCTGGGTGATGGGTAAATTGTTCGTATTCTGTGAATTCAGATAGTCACACCTGCAAAGACACAGAAACGCAGATGATCAGATAAACCAAGTTCAAAGAAACGAGGCCACACTTGGCTCGGAAGGGCAGAGAGGTTGGTGGGTCAGTGAGAGAATTGTGCTGCTTGTTCAGAATCTGAGCCGGTCCCATCTGTTATCTGGTCAGGACAGGTGGCTTGCAGGCAGAGTTTGGGCTCAGGCAGGTGGCACCAAGAGGAAAATTTATGGATAGGCCTTTAACTCTGGTCACTTTGGAGCCCAGCAGCTCTGGAAATTGGATCCAGATGGATAGTATTTTGATAGCTTCTCCTAACCAAGGAATTTATGCTGATTTTCAGGGCCCAAGGGGAAGGAGGGAGCACCTAAAGGCAAGGAATTCATCATTGCTTCTTACCATGTTTCCAAAATTCATCTGTGTTTTCACTCACCACCACAGTCAGGGCTGGCACAGGGACTGGGGAATTAAAAATAAATGGGGGCTGAGGGCCTCACTCATCACACATGCGTCTTCCATGGGATGTCCTGGAGCAGAACAGGGAGGAGTGTGGGGAATAGTCTCCTAATCAAGGAAGAAGTCTAGGTTGGGTCTGTAAGATCTTCCTCCACTGAGAAATGTATTAATCCTTGCCCTGCTCATAGAAGCATTGAAAGAAGCTCTAAACACCGGGACAGATTTTCCTCCCTCCACATTTGGGTTTTTCCGTGAGTTAAACTACTGGAAGGGTGGAGGGTTCTCCCTCTGTACGGGGCTCAGTACAGGCCAGGAAGGCCCGTCTATGTGAAGACTTCTCTGAAAATGAAGCTACTTCTGGTCATAGCTCTGCTGCTAACTGTGTAATGTGGGTAACCCCTTAACCGCCTGTGGGCCATGGTGTCTTCACCGGACATTTGCATGAGAGCCGGAGGACAACCAGGACCCGTTCAAGCTCTCATCTTCAATGCTCCTAGAATCTCCGTTGGAAACCATTTGGCTCTGCTGGAATGTTACAGAAAGAAGGCAAGGGTGATTCTTCTTTTCTCATGAGTGTTTTGGGAATTCTGTTGCTTGGAAAAGACTTCAAAAACTGTATCTTCTGCCTCTCTGTGAGACTCATCTCCAATTTATGTCACAAGGAGATGGGATTTTGAAGGCATACTAGGTGATCTCCA